TCGCGCAGGGGAGATTACGGGAGAATGGATGTGCATACCCGAACTCGCGCACAAAGACGTCGATGTGCAAGTGGTTGGCGTCAAGCAGCTTTCAGGAAGGGTCTCGCAAACGATGCTCGCGCTCGAAGGTAAATTCGGCTACCTCCTACTGGCAGCCCCCATATCTATCATCGACAAGAAAATCGAAGTCTTTGGGGTAGGGAAACATGGCACCAAGCATGCCATTGACAGGACGTGCATCAAACCGCGCCGGGAGGATGACTTCCAGCGACGCTTGTGGGAGATAACTGAGCGTGTAGTCGTCCTTGGCCCAGACGTGCACTCCGACACGCGTCACAAAGGTCACTACGCCCAGACGATCCCCTACCTCCAGCACACGTATGGTCCTGATGTCGTTGGTGTCAAATTGGAGGAGGGCGGGCCGCCTGTTTTGTTCCACATGTTGAGTTTGTGCTTGGCCAAAAATATCAGAATACAGGCACCGCACGGCATTTTCGACACTACCGTATTTGTGTAAATCTGTGCTTAGTTCTTGTCAATACGCGCCTAATTTTGAGACTACAAAGTTTGTATAGTTTGTAATAGTTTCTGTTAATAGGAAATAGTCCGAGTCTGTGAAATTAATAATGGTCGAATAAGGGGGGAGACACGTGTCTATAATATGTTTATGCTGTTTGATGCCTAATAGGACGCGTCAAACACGTATACGACGGAGGAACGCGGGGCAGATATGCACAGGAAAGCTGTGCTGCTATCGTCCGGGCCGCTCGGAGAAATCCTTATCAATCTTATTGGTTTCTCCGAAGATCGCCACATCAAGTGAGGCATTGTTTGTCCTGAGTGCCTATTTGCTCCTTGCTTACGACGACCACCATCCTAGGTAGAAATAGTAATAATAGAACATTGCCTGTACAATAGACAATAGACACTTCGTCTACGTAGTTTACTTACTGTACTTATTTCTTAGTGTACTTGTTTTATAACCGTTTGATTTCACGAGTAATACGAGACACGTAGCGAACAAAAAAAAGAACGAAAAGAAAATTCCGTGAGTTGCAGCGCTTTGGCGCGTTAATGACGGACCACCCAGCGCTAACCGGACCTGTGCTAGGATCAATCACCCCCAGCGATGGTCTTGAAGCTCACCCCGAAGGTGCGGCATGCGGCGGCGACGTCCTCCCCGACCTACACTTTACAAGAAGGACCGCGGGTGCCTGATCCCCGGCGCAAATTGGATCCCAGAGCGCGTCGGCCCGACGTTTTACTGCCTGACGGACGAACTCTCGTGCAGCCCCGCGTCCCCGCCCTGCTCACTCGGTTTGGATTGACGGAAACGTCACACGCTGGACGCGCGGCGCCCCCGGTATCGGACAAGGATCGTGCAGCAGAGGATTTTGCGGAAGCGGCGGCGGCGGATCCTGACATTATATTCATGGAGCGTACGCCGCCGCCCGACCCAGGACAACATCGGCGCAAGCGGGCGGCCCAGTGGGAACGGTGGCAGCGGTCAGTCTTACCGATGCTCCTGCCGGAATTGGCGCGCCTGTTACACGAAACAAAGTCTCTGCGCGACCTAGATGGATGCCGCCCGCAAACACCGTCCTGTGCGTGCAATCAGAGGAGCCATAAAGTCGCCGTGGTGCATTTTTTATGTGTGTCATTTTTCGACCCCCAATATTGGGTACTAACTCGTTCCAGCTATAGAAGACATGGAAATCCACGTCTGTGACTGCACCCCGGCCGCTGTGCAGCTGATGCGACTGGGCGCGTTTGGCTGCGCTCCAATGCTGCCGTCCCTGGCCGTGGATCTACGCGTTCTGGACTTCGCGATGAATCTGTTCCTGCAGATCTCTCCGAACAACACCGCGTTTAGCCTGACGTTGGAGCGAGTGCTGGCGAACATGGGATTTCAGCTTGAGCACCAGGTGAGCTTGCCTTCCCTCGTCCCTAATCACGAAATCGCGCACAGAACTCTTTGCGACAGCGATTCGGTAACTGCCTTATGTGGTACACCCATCTCCGCAACCTCTTGAAGCATCACTACAGCGGCATCATCGACACAACACGTGAGGAGCTAGTTGGCCCCGAGGTGCCAACTTCGCCCCCCCCACCGCGCGGGCGTTTAAGCGAGCGGGCTTCGGCTCGGGTGGCCTCATCCTCAGGCACTCCTACCCCGCGCCGTCCTCGTAGTTCAAGTGCTTCCCCACTGCGTGGGCATTTACGCGAGCGGGCTTCGGCTCGGGTGGCCTCATCCTCAGGCACTCCTACCCCGCGCCGTCCTCGTAGTTCAAGTGCTTCCCCACTGCGTGGGCGTTTACGCGAGCGGGCTTCAGCTCGGGCGGCCTCATCCTCAGGCACCCCCACCCCGCGCCGTCCTCGTAGTTCAAGCGCGTCGTCAGCCTCTTCGTCCGACACTCGAGGCAAACGCGGCAGGGAGCCGTCGCCCGAGGCTCCACAAGTCCCGTTCCCCGAACCGCCCCCAAGACTGCGACCAAGCGAATACTTGCGGCGTCGATGCCCCGCCTGCTTTGGCAACCTCAAGCATGACCCCTCACAAGTGTAAGTCCAGCGGATACCATGCCACCCAGGACTAACTTCGCCTGCAGAGCCGACGTCCACGTGTGTATCGACGCCTGCTTCACGCATAAGAAGAAGAAGTCTCCGCGGGATCCCCCAAAAAACACCCGGATACGCACTTCATTCCCGAGGAGCAGGCGGCGCGAACCGAGGCATATGTGGATGGCGTGTGCAATGCGTCGCAGAAGAGCGTGAGGCCTCGTAAACGTCGGGCCGCGGCGCAAGCGGTGGAGGGAGAGGAAGATGGATATGAGCACGAGAGGCTCCTCCTACCTCGCTCCGTCCTCGACGGATGTGAGGCATCCTTCAAGGCGGCCGATGAAAAGCGGCAGAAAGCAAGCACGGAGTTCTTCCAGGACACCACCCTCATGGCCCTGGTCTGTCGCCACGACCGCGTCCTCTGGGTCGCCAACATGCATACAGCGGGCGAGAGGCAATTCTAAGTAGTGGCCCTGATGTATACATTGTTCCAGCACCTCCCACATGACATTCGGGTCGGTCTCCTGTACGATGTCGCCTGCACCTTCGAGCGCAGCTGCCTGAAGTGGGGATTCCTGTCCCCCTTCATGGATCGAATCACCTTCGCAGTGTCGGTCTTCCATGCGTTCGGGCACAAGTGGGCCTGCCAGCTGCTCTATCATCCTCTGAAATGCGTGGGGTTTGGGTATACCAACGGGGAGGGGTGTGAGCGGTTCTGGCAGTCGATACGGCACTTGATTCCGCATTTGCGTATCTCCGGGGTACGTCTTTTACCTTTGCATCGAGAAACTTGGTTAATTGATTCCTCAGTATCATAACCGCCTTTACATCTTGGACGCCCAGATCGAGCACGCCCAGGAAGCGAGCCTTTTCCGCCTCGCGGAGTGGATCCATCGCCGTTATCGTCACAGCGTGCAGAAGCGCGCTGACGCCACCGAGGCCCTACGGAAGTGCGGGAAACCCAAGACCCTGTTGCGCGGCCCTACGGAAGTGCGGGAAACCTAAGACCCTGTTGCGCGAGCAGTGGAAGATGCAGGTTATCGCCCAAACGAGGCCTTTACCACGTGCGTGAATACAGCGCAAATAATTTGTCAAGTACATTCACTGACTTGTTTGTAGGTCGATCAAAAACCCAGGGGCAGCAGGCCATGAACGCGGTGATGCTTCTGCGTGCGGCTGTGAAAACACGCCAAGGACAAGTGCGCGAGCTGCGCCAGAGGTTCCTTGACGCTGTCCAGCAAGACCACCCCGACGCCGCCATGTGTCAGGCGGAGTACCTGGCAACTCAACAGGCTCTCCAGAAAGCTGAAGGAACTCTGCGACGGAAGGAGGAGGCCCTGGGCGTCGACGAGCACGAGGAGCTGGAGCAGCTCGCGAATAGCGAGTACATGCAGTTCCGTATGAATGCCCGCGCTTTGAAGCTGCGACTGCGGGAGCGGCTGCGAGCGAGGAAGTTTGAGATGGATGTCGTGGAATGTGCCTATCGACGGCTACTTAATGGTGACTGTTATAATATCAGCCTGGCAGGTATAAACTCACTGATATCTAGACGCAAAACTACGCGCACACACAGAGTCGGCTGTGAAACGTCGGGAACCCACGATCGCCAAGCTGGTGACGGAGTACAACAAACTCTGCGCACAGATGGCGAAGCTCATCTGCGATCGCAAAGCACCTTCAGGGTCGATGGCGCCACTCCCAATACCGCCGAAGGGGCTGTGGCAGCTCGATGTCGACGACGCTATCTTCCAGGACGTGGGATTCGACGACAGGGACGACGACAACGACGAGCCACCACCTTGGCTATGTGACGAGAAAGTACGCACCGGCATCAAGGCTTTGCTGGAGCTGGATCGGTGCAATGAAGAAGATGCACGGTTGCGGAGGGAGAAGTTGGCGTTGCAGGTGTGGTTCGGAGAAGAATGGAAAATGATTACAGAGGCAATTGAAGGAGCTGGTATGTCGCGTGGATTCAAGCGGGATTCTATACTCAGCTAGCAGCACCTTCAGCGTCTGACGTCGATGAATACCATCTACGGCTGCAACAGGACAGGCTTGTTTGCCTGTGCGCCACATGGGACAAGTCCTTGCCTGACATGGGTGTCGACATAGCGGCGATGCCACCGTGGGGACCCTCGGCGGTTCAGCTGGCGCGGTGTCGTGTGGACACGCATCTCGCGGCGCGCGGGGAGGACAGGCATTATGGAGAGGAAAATGATGAGGGAGATGACGAGGTGGATCCTGGCGAGGAAAGCGGTGGAGAACACAATGATTTTGGGGTGCTGGATGCCATGGAGAGGGCGGACATATATCGTAACAACGAAGCCGAGTACTAGGTAGAGCACTCCTGTAAAAGTACTACGAAATAATTAATTAAAAAAGTGCCGTGACTCTACCGTAAGTTTTTCTTCTGGTAGGAAAAAAACTATTGCCGAAATCAGTCAAGGTCATGCTGGGATTCGAACCCAGGATTACCAGCTTATGTCATCCGACATAATACTTACGCCGTTATCCTCTCAGCTACAAGGCCATTAAACCCACAAAAGTGTAAGCCATTCCATTAAGCGCAGCTTTAGTGGAACAATGGGCGACGCACTGCAGTTTGAATGAATGCATGCATGGCATGCTTTATTTGACTTTTGGCTGAGGGTCTATTTGTAATGGACCATTGGGTATCTACTCAAACCCCCATTCAACTGGGGCTTGTATTATATAGTTATTATCTTTCTTCCGCTTCTTTACGAGTACTTGCGACGATTTCGGACACGCATGCTCAAATGTGTGCCTGTAATTATTTATGATAGTATTACATCACGTCTGTCATGTAGATAAGATGCGTGGGATTTCCTGTAAATGATCATCCACTTTTTACCCTCTCGCATCGAAAGCTGCTGCGCTACTTAGCCCTCTTAACAGCTAACTAGCTTGGAGGCCCTGCTGTGAAGGTAGGTACTTCTCATTTTCTTGTTTCTTCAATTCCGCCGTTGGTACACTTGCTTTATTGAGCTGCACCTCGAACGGAAGTCCATTCGAGGCAGGGAGACAGAGCTCTAAGGAAGTCCTAAGGGCCTCTGTCTCTCGTGTAGGCTCGTTCAGTTTTACGCCATTTGGACGGCGGATATCTCGTTGACGGCTCGCCATACGATCCCTAGGTGGCTTACCCTGAAATATAACAAGTATTTGCAGGCCGTACTCAACGCGTCCTACACGATTGGCCGCAGTTGAAATCTTGATCTGATGTCTTGGGCCCGGATATCCGGTGGGCCGGTGTGATTATGTCATGGGTGTCACATCCGCTTCTAACCTGACCATGCCTGTGCTCCAGCCCTGTACCCCGTACCCGTGCAGCACTTTTTGTTCCATTAGCAGCCTGTTGACAGCTCTCACCCCCTCCCTCACCCCCCCTGTCTCCTGCCCAAGGCAGGTGTTCCTCACGGCCCTGGCTTCCAAATTCACGCAGGACAAATGCTATTTGAATTGCTCTTGGGTGAAACTCTCTGGCCTTCTGGGGATCACTGTGAGCATGCCCTTGGCAACCCCTTAGGTTGGCAATGCCCATGGTCTTCCCAGTATCCTCATTGACTGCATCAGCTCCAGCACCTGTTGCGGCAGGCAGACCCATGAAGGCTCTCTTCCAGTTGGAAAGGGGCCTTTTAAGACCTGCAGTTGCCATAAACTGGGACTTCGAGAAGTTTACCACAAGTTCTAAAGCAGACAAGGAGAAAAACTTCAAGTGTCCTGATATTGGAAAGATTGAAACTTGTGCCACCTTGGTAGATCTGAAGGGTATAATCATTGCATGGATATTGCCAAATATTTTTTCAAAGTCTCAAAAGGTATCCGTCAAAGACATTACTCATCCACTATGCAAACTAATCAACTTAGTCAATTTTGCATCATGCAACACAGATCTTAGAGAAAACACTGTTGCAAAGCATTAAACAGCTGGATCCCACAAAACCCAAGCCTTGTTGGCACAGTTTGCACTCCAGTTTTCGGACGAGAACCTTGCAAGGTGGTTCCCTGAATTTCTCAAGTGGTTGGTTTGGGATTGGGCATGCTGTACGCTTTTGAACAACTCAAAACTGCCTCCTATAACTGTTTATCCAGAGTTTGAAATACCCTTTGAAACCGTCACAGAATCTGCAGCAAAAACAACCACGGCAATGGCTCTCAAGGATCAATGAAGTGGAGGAATTCATAAATTTATTCTAGGACTCGCTCATCCTGAACTATATGTGGCTGGGATCGAGGCTCTCTCAAAGCTACGTGTTAATCATGACACAGAGAACATTGCACGGTCATGGGCATCGGTTTTCTCCGGAATTGCAGTGATTGTCAATCGGATCAGCATGGCTCATACAGATAGGGGTGGTCGTCCAGAATGGTACGATCTATTGGTCTCTGCCGGAAATCCAGAAAATGCTATTCTCCGCATTCCGCAACTTGGAGCCACTATCAGCTATGATGCGGGTACAGTTGTCTTGCTGTGTGGGAAATCACTTCTCCACTCAGTTAGACCCTGGGGAAAGGGGGATCGGATATGCTTGGCACACTTTATGCGTGCATATGTGTTGGAGCGCCTTGAGGTATCAAATGTTGGGTGGCCAATGCAGCCCAAATATTTTTAGAAAGATGCCCAGTTCATAGATATTCGAGACAAGTTCTGCCATTCCGTGCAACCAATACAGATTATATTAGGGTGGCTCAAAGTTGGCTGCATCTCCACATCTTGTTTTGCAGCAACTCGCATCTCGACCCACAGCAGAGCAGTTTCACCCTCGGCCAACAACCGAGCATTGGATCAGTAAACCACAGGTGCAGGGAAAAACGACACAAGAAAAATACACCGGAAAATATCTGACTCTTGAAATACTGCTTGAAATCAAATCAAATGACCATCTCAGGGCGTGGGACCCAGTTTGACACGTCGTTTCTAGGTTCGGAGCAAGCCTGTCTCCGGTCCCGCAAGCCGGACAATCTCGGAGAGAGGCTTGCACCAAACTGCCAAAAATAGGGGATGTCTTCTATGACTCACCACGTTACCATTTCAACCCTGATCCCCCCAGTTTGTGTATAATATCTGTTGGTTATATGTAGGCCTCCCTGCATAGAGTCTTAGTTTTGAAATATAAGATGAACAGACTCCCGTGGACTCCATTCTTCATTGACAACTTCTAATTCAGATCTGAAGCAAACAAAAGATATTCTCATGAAAATATATTGATTGTATGGGCTCGATAGAAAGGTAGTATCTTCAAGAACAGATCGTACACTAAAGGTTAACCAGATATTTGCCTGTGGTGTCCACAAAAGACACTTTCAACTGTCGCAACCCAATTGGGAGGTGTGACAAGATGTGTACAAAGTGTGACATTTTTATCTCGAGAGTTATTTTGCACCCCACAGGAGCTGTATAAGTCATCCAGAGTGTAAAAAGCCATTTTTGCAACATTGGCTAGTGCAGAAATATGAAGAACAAATTTTGGCAATCCATACCACATTTCGAGAAAAATCCTGTTTTTGATGACTAATCATGGCCGGATTTCTCAATCACTCGTATTGGAACTGGAAGCCCCAGTATAGCACCTAAGAGATTTGACAAGGTATCTGAGGCAGGAGGATGTGCCGATCACATCCCCATTTTTGTGGACTTTGGTTCAAGCCCTTCTCAGAATGCGCTGTGAAGTATGTGAAAGTCATGCTTTTCCATTCGACACGTGAGAAGGCAGCTTGTTCCGAACCTACGTTGTTTCAGCCTTTTCTGGTTCTTTCCTCCAACGTGTTTTGTCACGAGATGAATTGTCTCTGTCTTGTGTCACCATCAAAAGCAATGAATTTTCAAAGTCCGCCATATCTGCTGCACTGCGAATTCTTTGCTACAAGATGAGATGTGGAGATGCCACCAACTTTGAGCTACCCAATTTTACCTAGGATCACAAGCCCCACCTTTGGTGACTGCCCATGCATCCATCCTAAGTCCTAACTCTGTGGCGTCCATGTGAAAAACTGCCCGGATGAAGTCCATGCCATCCCCCGATGCATGTATGCGTGGTTCAACAAGGTCACCAAAATGGCCCCGTGCACTGAGCAGTAAAGTGCGAACACCTGTGCGGCCAGTCAATGTGTCTAGCTGTATCTTGACATGAATGATGCAATGTGAAGACATCACAATATAACTCACCTGGCGTAGATGTTTTCCAACATGCAACGAACATCATCTGCATCCCTGAGGCGGGCCTCATACCTCTCTTGATGCACTTTACGCACTGACTGTGCATGAGCCTCGAGTACCCTTTCTTTGTCTGCAAGAGCAGTCAACCCTTCATGGTCCGATTCAATCTCACTTTCTGAAGTCAACACTCGTGTACTGTGTGATGGGAGTATGAAATTATGATAAACAGACCTTTGGCTGAACAGGAAATAGATTCACCAGAAGTACTCCCAGTATCAGATTTTGAGCTCATTTTCGTGGTATGGACATCAGCGTGGGACATTCCTGGATGAGATTATATATAGTACCACGTGATGTTTACCTGAGCTCAATGCCTCGACAAGCCAAGATAAAGGGACAAGGAAACCAAACAAGATATTATCCAGTATTGGATGAGATTACAGTTTATGATGAGGTTCAAACCCGGAATGGCTATCGTTCTCAAAAGGCGCGGAAAGTCTCTGCATCATCTAGACCAAAATCACCATCCAAGTCACCATCCAAGTCGGCCTTCAGGTCTCCTAGAAAAATCAACTCAAATATCTCGGATGGGCATACTTTCGAAGAGCCAGGTCCTCAGCAATTGAATGCACAGGACTCAGTGGTGGCCTGCCTCTCCGAAGAGGGAAGGTAATAGTTTAACTGAATTAATTATTGAAACATCCTTCCTAAATGAATTCCAGACTTCAAATGATTATATGCGGGAATGGAAATCAAATAAAAGGAGTGTCTACTTGAAGTGCATATTGAATGGGGAGGCATATCCCGCAATGGGAGTTGTCAGCGATGTGGAAAGCATGAAGGGATCTTTTGCTGTGATCATTGCACAGGACAGGCTGTTTGGTGCGAAAAGTGTTGTCTGATTATTCACCAGACTTCCCCATTTCACCGAATCAAAAGGTGGAATGGGAAGTTCTTCAAGAAGACAGACTTGGACAAAATTGGACTTACAATCTTCCTCGGCCATGAGGGAGCCCTTGTCCAAAATTGCGTAATGTGGACCATAATTCAGAACAGACAGCTATGGGGCCTGCTAATCCAGATGAAGACATTGTGATGGATGCCTCCAACGCAGATGTGAATGAGTGGGAAGATGAAGTCAGACAAGGATTTCTGGGAGACCGCCTGAAAATAGTGGACACCACAGGCATCTTTTCGAGGCGCATCCGATGGTGTGAGTGTATGAACCATGAGATGGAAGTTGTGCCGCAGGACCTCCAGCTTCTTCATGCCCATTTTTACCCAGCAACATCAGACCAACCATCCACTGTGTTCACATTCAATGTTCTGGACGAGTTTGCGATTGATGTCTTGGA